GAGCCCAGTATGAGATCTGGCATCCACAGGAAAGCAAACTTTCATTAGCAGGTTATCCCATTATCAGCTGTTCTGTAGACTTTGACCGTGTTTATGAGTGAACTACTTGTCTGTCTACTCCTGCAGATTTCCATCTGTGGAAGAATGATAATGTAGGAAGTTTTATAGTTGATTGAGTGTTGGTATTTATGAAGTGTTGAAATTATTGTCCAGAGTCCTTTTGGAACTGGGAAGCATCTTGCTTCCTTCCAAATACCTGTAACTTCATTTATACAGTGTATCCACACAAACAGAGCAGTCTGTGTGTTCATCTTTGTGTTCATCTCAGCAGTTGCTCTCTGTCAGTGCTGACTGTGGCAACTTTCTCAATCTCACCCAGGTACTACTCTCCGGAAGATGGTACGAGATGCTACCACTGAAGTAGTGGAAGGGATGATCCAGCTCACAGACACAATTCTCAATGCTCCAGCGGAGAGGTGATTTTTAATCACGTGGTTCTATGATTTTATGATAATTTTTTGGAAAAAAAGGAAGAAAAAATTACAAGTATACTTGTTAAGAAGCAGCAAGTGCAGACTGCTTCCTAAGGGAAGGAGGGGAGACAGAAGCAGAGTTGGAATCAGGAAGGGGCAGTGGCCTCTTCAGCAAAGGTTCAGTTCCCCAAGATCTGAGAGAGCAGGGCAGTGCTGGTGAGGGTGGTGAGATTCATTTGAGAGTCAGATCATCAGACAAGCCCATCGGGATGATTTCAAGCTGGAAAGTCAGGCCAGTAAGTAGAGATTAGGGTCAGGTCCAGGGAGAATGACCAGCATCAGACACCATCCAGGGATTGTCCATTACAGTGAGTTGGGTCTGAGGTCAAGGCAGGAGGGTCAAATCAGTGGGTCAGGATCCAGCTCAGAATCAAGGGCGAGACTGGGTACAGACAAAGCTGGTGCACAGCTGGGATGGAGCACAGACAGGGCCCAGTGAAAGAACCTCAGGGTAAAAGCATCTCCAAGGGTAAGGGTGGGCTGGCCCTCACTTCTGCCTGTCTTGCCAGTGCCTCCTATCAGCAAAGGAGCTGACCTTGTACTTAGCCAACATCTTTCCAGCAGAACTTCTACTGATGTGCACCATCCTCGGTGCAGAAAGTAAAAAAACAGTGGTGTTTATAAAATGTGGTGTTAATGAAGTGGTGTTAATAAAAAGTGAGGTTGATAAAAGCACAGTGGTGTTCTTGAGTCTAACTTTGGGGGCTTTTGTTCTGTTTCAGCTTGTCTCAGGAACAGCTTATATCCACTGGAGGTGTGTGGGAGGCGTGTGAGCAAGTGTCCAACCTGCCACGAGGTGAGTGTTGTAAATGCAGAACAACAGAACTAGGATGTGTTGTCTTGGAATACCAATAGCCTTTGCAAAGGTATTCTAGGTGGCACAGTGAAGGCTCACTCATTCTCCAAAACCCGACTGGTTTTGAAATGTATAAGCTTGGAAGCCAGGCCAGATTCTTTGCACGACAACAGTGCAGCTCTGAGCTCTGCAAGAAGTATGATCCTGCAATCTCAAGATCTAATGATGGCAAAACTAGATGAAGGTTGTTGCAAACTGATTTGAAACACTGGGGTGACACAGTTTTCATTCTTTTTCTTTTACAGATAACCAGGCAGCAGTTGCATCAGCTCTGACTGCGTGTCTAGGTGTGGTCAAGGATGCTGTGGAGGAGATGGAACATGTAAGGAAGCCCCTGAGCCTCAGAGGAACCTGCAGGGGTGGATTGTAGACTCACAGAATATCCTGAGTTGGAAGGGACACACAAGGATCGTCGAGTCCAGCTCCCGTCTCTGCACAGGGCAACCCCAACAATCCCACCATGTGCCTGAGAGCATTGTCCAAACAATGCCTGAGCTCTGGCAAGTTTGGGGCCGTGACCACTGCCCTGTTCCAGTGCCTCACCACCCTCTGTGGTGGTTCAGTGGTGGAATGCAGGGATTGTTTTATATACAGGCTTTGATTTAAATTTATTCTGATATGACCTAGGTTATTGTTTTTTGCGTGGATTTTAATGAGTTTTTAATCTCAAACTGGGTTTATTTAATATAAGGTATCCATAAAGCCATGTCCTGAACTGGGGCACATGGGAGATTGTGGGAGGAAGTTTAGGGAGATGTAGGAATGGCAGTATTTACCAGGTTCTTGCTGTTTGCACTGTTGAATTAGAGTGGGGGATTAGTTTATCTTAATCCAGTTCTGGGATTAACCAGCTGAGATTTCCCCCATTAATTATTTGCACGATGTCTAGATGATGTTCTCCCTTTCCTGCCGGGTACTGCTGGAGTTGATGTCAGGCTCTGGGTTTTCAGTGCCTCTGTGTTCTCAGGCACTGGTGGAAGGGCAGGATCCCTATGGTGACATCATGGAGGATGAAGAGCTGGGCTTTCGGGGCAACAGAGACACGTATTGGTCAGAAGCTGACCGGCAGCTGCTGAGCTCCTGCATGGGGTTAATGAAGGCTTCCAAAGCTTGCCTGAAGAAGGTCCTGGGTGCAGTGAAGGCCTATGGCAAAGCTGATTCTCCAGAGCAGATTGCTCAGCTGGATGACCTTGCAGACATTGCTAATGAGATCAGTCCAAGGTAAGCAGGTCTCTCCCTGTGCTGCTTTTTACTCTGGAGCAGCCCTGGTCTTTCTTGAGGTCTAGAGAATGGATTAGGACTGCATTTATGGTATTGGAGCTGTGAGCAGGTGGTGGGGAGACTGTTATGGTATAAGCTGTTGAGAGTTGTGCAGGTGAGGAGGGGAACAGACATTGCAATTTGGGGTGGAGCTGTGGCCACATCTCACGCTGTGGTGAGAGGGGCACAACCCATGGGTATGACTGACATCTCCTTGTCATGCACTGCTGTTCCTGACTTACATTCAGGGCTGGGTGTGGGCTTTGACCAGGATCCATGAGTTGTGCTGGCAGGACCTTTCTTCTATTGTTCCCCTCTTTTCTATCCTAGTGTTGATGAGTTGGCACTGAGCATGTACCCACCTGTGAACCCTCTGGCTGTGCGACTTAATGTGAGTATCTGCAGCCTGTGTGTGGGACTGGGCTGTAGAGAATGGGGAGAAATCAAATTGGAGGGGTTATGTGACTGTCAGGGAGAGGTGGGTGTTAGTGACTGTCTCAGTAAAGATTTCTTAGGGTTGAAGAGTGCCCTTGGTTCTTGCACACTTAGCTTCCTTCAGGTGGAAATACTTTCCTCATCTTTACCTCTTCTGGGAAGGGCATGACCACTTGGAGCTTTAGCTCTGAGCTATAATTCATAGAGATGTCCAGTGGCAAAACTGGTTTCATGCCTTTGGCCAGTGGCTTGATTTTTTGCAATAAAAAAGAAAGTATTACTTAATGTCAAATTGCATTAAAGTCAGTCACTTGTAACTTCATATCTTAATATCAATCACCAATTTCTAATAGGCTTGTCTTTTTTTAAAGAAGGCATTTTAATGTATGCTTTAAGAACCATACATGTCTTTATTTTTACCTGTCCCAGCCAGCAGTAGGGTGGGAGACACTTCCAGCTTGGCAGTGATAGATAACTCCATTCTGCATCAGAATTGGTGGCAGTTTTACTCATTTTTGGCTCTTGAGCATTCCCACATTTCTCTTTCCTTTCCAATTCTGCTGAGACCCTGTTTTTCCTCACATTTGGCTCACTTCATTTCCCTTTTGTTTCCTTCTAGGCTGCTAAGTTGGCCTCAGTGTTAAAGAAAGTCTTAGAGATTGCAAAGTGAGTATGAGCTACTGTTTTATGAGCGTGCGTTCCCTGCTATGAAAGCTCAGACCTTTCTACCTCGTGTCAAATATGACTCATTTCTAGACAGTAAATGCTGGCATTTTGGAGTATTTATGATGTTGTCTGGTCCCAGAGGGATGGGACTAAGAAAAGAGTGGTAGGGATGAAAGCAGTTCCCACTGAAGACACACGTGTGTTAAGGTTTGGGACTATCTACATGGATGTGGGTTCTTCCTTGCTCAAAGCCCTCTGGAGCTATAGCAGCCCTGTTTAATGCTGTGGTTATTCAGCACTTCACAGTACCCCTGTGTTCCCTGGATGCACAGGTGTGAGACACCCAGGAGGCTTTCCTAATGAGTTTCCTCCACTTTTGCAGGACAAGCCATGTGTGTCCACCATCAGAGGAAGGCTGGGTGCAGTTCCTAAATGGTGCAGTAGATCACAACATGAACAAAATCAAGGACTTCACACAGGGTCAACTTTAGCTCTCCTGTGCCTACGTGTGTTGCTGCCACTGGCTCTGGCATGTGCTTTCCCAGTGAATCTTGCTGTTCTTCAGCTGCTCGGAGAATGAGGAGAACAATGTTTCTAGGGGAGAACCTTGCTGCCACTTGGAAAAACTTTTCCAGGAAGTTGCTCTTTGCCATTGCAGAAGTTGTCATTTTACTTGGATTCTTGGGATGATGCAGTGCTGCATCTTAACCTGCCCCATTCTTCAGACATTACAACTACTGTGGGGTTCAAAGAACAATAAAATGTTGTTAGATTTGCATTAGTTGCTTTATCTGTCTTCAGGTGACAGAGGATATATACAGAAGGAAAGGGTCTTGCTTCTTTTGCAAGCAGCCCAATGAACCATTATAAAATGTGCTGCACTGTTGCTGTTTACTGTTTAACCTTAGAGAGCACTGAACAGCTTTCTATTATTCATTTCCTCAGAAAGCAGCAGAAAATACTGTTTACTACTTTATTAATATCAAGGATCCGTAGGGGGAGAAGGGTATATCTCTAGAGAATTGCTACATGTATCATCACTTTAAAGTTCCAGGATATCCTTTTGTTTTCACAGGGGGGGAAAATGCCTCAGCAGTGGTGGGTTCAGCACATGTGTGTGGTGAGAAATGTCTGCTTGAGCCTTCAGCCCACCTTTGTCACAGTAAGGTTCAACTTCTGAAACGGGAGAGTGGACACAGTGCCAGATGGGAGAGAGCTGAATTTATACAAATAATCAAAATCAGACATGGTTTTAAACTTAACTTTTATTAAACTGTTAACATCTGTACTTGCCTAAGATCAAGGCACAGATCATGACCACTCTTTTGGTGTGGAACAGGATCTGTTCCAAGCTGGGCCTCAGGCAGCTGCAATGTCAGTAGTTCTGTAGCTCTTCAGGTTCTGGAGTTGAGGGCAGGTCAGTTGTGCAGTGAGTCTCCTGGGCCCTGCTCGGATGGGGGTGAATGGGATTTGCAGTTCTTGAGTGCTTTTAGCTTGCACAGATCCCAACCTGAAAGGTGAGAAGGGATTATACAGGAATCACACCTCTCTGTATTTCTGGTTCCCTGGGCCTAGGAGATACATTTGCTAGACAGGAGTGTGGTGCCAAAAGTAAAAAGAAAAGAAAGGAAAAAAAGAAATAGAAGAAAGCTAGCAATTATCTAAACTACCACAATGGAATTGTCATCTGACAGTAGTTTGGGCAGGAGATAGGACAGGAAAGTTGAAACTCCCCATGGAGCCATCTAAGGTGACTTTGTCCTAATGCAGCTTCTTCAGATAAATGTGGGGTGTTTGTCCTGTGCAGGAGAGCATACCTTTTTGGATAACTGTTGGCTAAGTCACATTTGCCTGGTTCTTCAGCTGGGAAGGGGAAGACACCACTAGAATTGTACCCAGGGACTGTCTTTATTGCTTACAGTGGGTAATGGGTGGAGAGCTATGTCACAAACAGTACAGTTTTAATCCACTTAAGGATGTTCAAGTGGCTCACTAAAAAGTAATTGATTTCTCAACAGCAAATAATTTCTGAACTTCATGGCTCATTTCAATGACCTCTAACTTGTCTTATTTAATGTGAGTTTCTGACTAAGTCTTGTGGTATTTCTCCTGTTATCCTTTTGTTGGCAGGAGGCTTTTCCTTTTGTTGTCTAGGCCTTTGGGGTGGAAGCTTTCACAGATGCCATATTGGCCTCAACTTATGCATTACACATTTGTGGGAAGTTCTGTTAGCTTCTCCTTTTGAGTGTGAAAATCTTCTGTATTGTATGTAAATAAATGACAGAATGCCTGGGGCTTTCATGCTAAAGCAGTATCTTCCTGCCATGTTGTTGCCTGGTTTTGGGGACAGCCTTTGCTGTGCAAGGGTTTCTCTAGCTTGTGTTGTGTCTCTTTTTCCATTTGCTGTTCTCAGATCCATCAGTTTGCACTTACCTGTACTTCCTCTGTCTGTAAATGAGCCCTCGCCCTGCAACTGCTACCACACACTGCTCCAGGGGTCTGGGGAAAGGGTTCAGGAGGCTGATCCTTGCCGTGCTTGGCTGATACTGTACCATGGTTTTTGGAAGCTGTTGAAAGAAGGAAATGAGCTGAAACTGAGAGAAGGAAAAAGATTCTCCTGTGATTAAAGGGAGATGTATAATTTTTGGTGTCAGAGGTCTCAGCCTGAGCTGCCACTTGGCAGAAGAGGCAAAATCCAGGTTTGTTTCTTCTGCTCTGGTTTCCTTCTGCAGCCTCTGATTTCCAGAGTAGTCAGTGAGTTAGGAGTTATCAGGATTTCCTCGTGCACACACAGAGAAAAGGCAGGAGTGGGAGCACTGTGTACAACACTGGCCCAACTCACCTTTCCCAAATTGATATCCCAGTGCTTTGAAAGAATATGGCACGAGGAGAGCCACTGAACCAGCAGAGTTGTTTTGCTGCCTGTGACTGTGAAAGCTGTTTTCTCCCTACAGCAGTAATAGAATGGCAGCCCAGTCTAACCTCAATAGTGAGAAGGGGGTCAGAAACGCTGATCTCTTCCTGTGCCAGGTAGATGTAGCAGGAGGCCTCATCTCTCAGCACAGCAGTCAGCCTGAGCAGGTGGGTCTCCCCCAGCTCTTTTCCACACCATGAGTAAGGCACAAGGATCTTCAGGTGGTGGACTGGAATAGAGTGGTGAAATAACAGGTGATGAGTAGAGTCTGGTCTTTGCCTGCGTGACACCTCTGAGTGTTTAGTGCCCAATATTGTACTGAAAGCTGCAGCATTTAAATGCTTCAGTGATCCCAACTGGATTCACAGGTTGAAAATCTCTAAGGTGATGTTGCCAAAGTGGTGTATTTCACAGAATCACAGAATGGGTAAGGTTGGAAGTGAATCATGTGGTCAAACCTCCCTGCCCCAGCAAGGTCATCCCAGAGCATGTGGCACAGGACTGTGTCCAGATGGTCCTTGAATATCTCCAATGAGGGAGACTCCACAACCTCTGGGCAATCACTTACAATCAACTACTCAGACAACCTTTCGCAAACTTATGGCTAAGAGCATTTTTTCTGAAGTGAGAACTAGATACACTTTTCTAGCCGTGCACTCAGCAGAGTCCTTACCTTCATTGCTTTGGAGGTTAAAATTAAACTCTTCCTTCCAAAGCTGGGTAATGGGCACACCATTATAATGTAGAGACTGGACCCCAACTACCAGCTGAGTAGCCTTTTCTCCACCACTGTGGTTAGACATTTCAATGGAAAGTGGAATATCTTGTCCTGGTTGCAGAGAACTACTCGACTGGAGGTGGAGGGAAAGGTTAACTGGCTCTTCAAGGGCAATAGGAATGGAGCTAAACTGTGTTGAGCTGCTGCTGGTGGTTGTCTCAAGTTTCTTTATACTTCTGTAGGCTTTGTCAAGTACTCCTTTTTCCTTGAGAGAGCCTGTCACAAAAAGGAACATATATTTTAGTATCCTTTCCAGTTTAACAGTGTGAAGCAGCAAGTGCAGGAGAATGGCATTGATTTATCCTGGCACTACTGTAGATAACTGTTTCTAAGAGCATAGAGAGATATCCTTTTGAGCTTCTGGTTGGAGCAATTCAAGAATTTCAGCCGACAGGATATTCATTGGATGTACCTGACAGATTCTACCTGGGAAGAGCTGTCATAGTTTTTAAAGCATCTTGGTGCTAACATCTGTCACAATAAAGGAGGCAGTGGCCTCTTTAACTATTGCTGTAGCTGAGGCAGAGCTGTGTTCTCATGTGATGGATTGCAGCCAAGGTGACAACATGCCACAGCCTAAGATGAGATGGCAGGGTTGGGTCAGGGAAACAGCACTCACATTCTGAAGCTACTTTTTGAGGGAGAGATTTAGGCAATATTTGAGAGCATAACAGTCCTTTTCAGAAAGCTGGAGTCTGATACAGGTCAGTCTATCTACCTATCTACCTACCTATCTATCTATCTATCTATCTATCTATCTATCACAGAGGTAATGGGAGGTGAAGGTACAGAGTGTAGAGGCAACAGAAACCAGAAAAGTTTTTCCAGATGTGGAAGTGCCTGGTAAAGAGACACCCAGCCATCCCCAGACCTGGCTAATGCAATTAAGCAGATGAAATTTAGGCTTTGGTTCTGTAGACAGAGTTGGGTGTTCTCATGCCATTGAAGAAGGGGAAGTTGTGAGAAGTGGATGACCCTGGTGTTTTGGTTTGGCTCTGCTCTCTAGCCTTTTCCTCTTCATTTGTAACACTGCCAAGGAAGGTGCTCAGCCACTGGCCAACCCCATACCTTCAGGATACTTGTAGTTGTGTGTGATGTCCTCACAGCGTTCACTGCCAACACTTTTGGTGCTGATGTTGTTACCAATGTATTTCGTGCCACCAAAAGCTGGCTTAAGGGTGTCATCTGCTTTTTGTATCCAGACCTGACACTTGGCATTGATGGCGGCAAAGAAGTAGCAAACATCATAATCGACTTCTGTGTCCCCTTCCTTGATGGCGTGGACAGGGGCTGGCCCACAGAAGGATCGACCTGAGGAGAAAATGTGGCCTAGTTAAGATTCAGATGCTTTACCAGCTAAAGCCATCCCTAGTTTAGACCTGTACTGGGATTAGTGAAGTATCTAGTTCAGGAAGACAGTGCTGTGATAGAGCTCTTAAAGCTACATAAGCTGCATAAACCAAACAGATAAATAATGATTTTGGACCTAAAGTCAACAGAGTGAGTCCCTGTCCTATTGCATCTTTCCACTGGAAGTTGGGCAAGGGAGGAACACTGAACTGCTTTATTTGCTCCCTGCTCCCCCCTTTCTCAAGCCCATCTCTGATATCTTACCTTCACTTTTTTCCTGGCAGGTGGCATCCAGTGCCTGCCACCCGCTGTACTGGGGTGGCAAATCAGCCCGAGCCATCCAGCATTCATTCCAAACGTGGAAGGTCCTGCAAGAGACATCACGAGCTTATACCAAGGGACTGAGCCCTGAGGTACAGTAAATTTTTAGCCAAATCACAGCCGGTCAATGCTCCTTTGAAAGAGTTCAGTGCATGTTGAGGAGAGCAGAGACCACGTTTTTTGATACAAGTGGAGTTTCTCTGGCTGGACTGGGCTATCATTCTTCCTTTGTGGGCCCTAGTAATAAAGCACTCTTCAGTTTGGGTTGCCCAATTTATCAAGGACAGGATCTCAGCTGAGCTGTCTCCTATCCACCTCCCTGCAGCTCTTTCACCTCTTTGTTTCCCCCCCCCATCACTTCCTACATCCAGGTATTGTCTCAAATTCTTGCTTGGGCCCTGCCATGTTTCCTTACCAGACACGAGCACGCTTGTCCTGTGTGAGCAGTGTCCCATCTTCATCATAATACTCATCCACACTCAGGCTGCTCTTAGTGTTGTGAGCCCACGTAAAGCCAGTGACCACCCTGGTAGGGATTCCCAGGCACCTCAGAACTGTGCAGAAGAGAGAGCCGTGAATCAGTTGTGCATCCTGCCCTAAGGGTGCCTCTGCTGATGGGTGTAGAGCCCTTTTTGGTGCTAGGACTGTTAGGAATGGCACAGGCCTGCTGTCTGGGCTTTGCAAGAGTCGTTGCCCCTTCAGGAAATAAGATCTCACAGGTGCCTTCAGAGAATGGATGTACTGATACTCTTATCTCAAAGCTAGTGATGCTCAGTGTTGAAGAGGAAACTCTGGGGATCTGCCTCTCACCTAAAGATTAAAGGTTGTGTTACTGGGATCTGTGTTAATCCAGGAATTTAGGCATATGCTGCAGGTCCTGCAGACCAAATAAGGCTTTGCTCAACACGGAGGTCTTTGAAGCACCACTTTGAGGTACCTGAACACATGACTGCAGCAAACACCCAGCAGTGCCCGTAGCGGACAGGCTGGAATTCCGATGCCATCCACTGCCAGAGGATGGGGCTGCTTCCCAGCCACTTGGAAGGGGGTGTCCCATTACGGTATTTCCCGGCCTCACACTCTGTCAGGATTCCTTTAAGCTCATTGCAGTTCAGCTGCGGGGAAGAAGGAGAGAAAGATGTATTAAGGAATTGCCTCTATTTGCTAGGTCAACCCAATCCTGTTTGATGAAGCTACTCCCAAGGCAGATGAAACCAAGAGGACTTTTTTGGTGCAAAGCATGAAGGTCGTGGCTGAGCAGAACAAGCACAGCAGTCTCCTCTGAGATTTATTCAGTAAGTGAATAAAGTCACTGCTAAGTAACTCCTGCAGCACTACTTTGCTATGGGAATATCAGGACAGGTTGGAGGTCGGGTTTGGAACAGCCCTGGGCAGGGTTCCTCTTTGGTCAGTGGGTTGCCCTGAGCTGGGGTTGAGAAGATGCACCCTGGGATTGAGAAGATGCACCCTGGGATTGAGAAGATGCACCCTGCTAGTGCCAGAGCTGCTGTCTGCTCTCCTTACCATGGCAGCCACTGCTCGGCAGACGTGGACAGGGCTCCTGCGCTGGGTGGGATCCTTCTCTCCTTGATGGAGTTCACCCAGACACAGCAGTGTGAAGCAGATGTCAACAATGCCCTGCTCAAACTGAAACAAGAACACATCATTTCAGGAAATCCGGCCTGAGTTTTTGTTCTCTTGAGTCTCTATGAGGATTTGGAACTGTGCAGGTTATTTCTCCCTCTCTGCTGATTGTCTTATAGAAAGTGGGCTGAGGAGGAGAGCTCCAGGCAGAGGTTTGGAGGGGGAGCACAACATACTGAAGACGGACCTCCAGCTTTATTGAAGGTGGAAATGCATTAACATGATGCTGTATCCCCTAATGGAGGGAAATTGATGCTTTTCTGGAGCACTCTCTAGGTCGGCACAGAAGTACTTTTGTGATCTGCTGGCACTAAAGTGGAGTAAAATCCTGCTCTAGTCACTGGCTGTGTCAGGTGGCCTTGGGCAAATTGAAAGATCTGCTTGTCCTCACTTTACCTGTAATACAGAGAGAGTATTACTAAGTTCTGTTAAATGCTTTTATACCTGTTTTGGAAAGGAAGGCACACAAAGCTCGGATATAGATCAATGCATATCTTTATATAGGACAGCCTGAGAAGGTAGCTAAAATGACATATAGGGGGTTATGTGATTTCATGCAGAGGTCCCTGTTCTCCTGCACAGGTTTAGACAAAGACAGTGAGTGCAGAGAGTGAGGTCTTTCATCAGAGCCACAGCACAGAGATGGATAAGGCTGTCAGCATCCTGTACACACAGGGTATATGTACCCTTCCTCTGCTGGTGGCTGTGAGAGGGCACAGACATGTTGGACCTCTGGCTTACCTGACTGAAGTCCCAGGGCTGTGCTACGGCTGCATTTTCAGTCCCCCAGTAGATGACACCCTCCTGGTTTAAAATGTACTCCTGCCGCTGTGCTTCATTGGGCAAGAACACCTCATCATCTAGATCAGAGGGAAAAAAGCATCAGGAAGAAAACATTCCTGGTCTCAGATGCACTTGCATCTCTCTGACATCAGCAGACTCCACTGCACTCCAGGGACTTCAGCAGTCCCTGGTATCCTGCCTTGAAAAATATCACAGGTTGTGAATCAGACAGGAAAAAAGAATTTCATTGTAATCTCTGTTCCTTGTTCAAAAAGTTCCTCCAGACCGAGGCAGTTGCACTTGCTGGCTCTGCTACTCTCCTGGCTGGTAACTTCTCTAATCCTAAAACAGATACAGTGGCCTTAATCAGACTAGTTACAATCTTGACTCATCTTAAAATCTTTACTATAGGAAACACTTCATCAAGCATTTTTCCTTAGCAGAAGGGCAGGGCTCTGGCAGTGAAGTATTCCAGCAATGGAACAGAAGTGCTGAGATAGGCAACTTTGAGCTTTCTTAGCCCCTTCCTCTCTCCTCAGGTGCTGTGAGGAGCGGGGCAGGAGTGGCAGGGAGCACTGGGTGGGTCAGCCTCAGCCTCCATGGGGACAAAGTGCCAGAGCTCAAAAGCTGTTTTTGTGAAGTGACTGATCCCAGCCTGCGTGTTTCTGACCACATACCTTGGCACCAGGGGTTAAAGAGAAGGGTGAATTTTCCCAGGTGGTGGGAAGTTTGGGAAGCACGTAGAAGCAGAGTGTACTGGCCAATGGGAGCATTGGCAGGGGTGTTCACAGTGAGGGTCCAGGAGCACAGGTCCTGTTCTTCCAGTGCTGCACTCCACTGCTTCTCATCTCCCAGGCTGGAGATGGGAAATTCAGTCTGGATTTCATCTCCTTCGGAAGGATGCCATCCTGCAGCCAAAGAGATTTGGTTGTGTTTATTCCAAACATTGTGTTTATTCCTCACCTGTGCGGACTGCAGGGACCTTGTCTATCCCAGGAGCCACAGCTCTCCTCATGAGAGAGTCTAAACCCCTTAGCACCTTAATGAACCTTCCTAAGGTTACTACTGCACTCGGGCCTCCACATTTGAAAGTGAGATGTGCATTTCATGGATTTGTAGAAACCAGTGTATTCACTGCCAGAATGGTGCAGACCTGCTGCTCCTGGAATTCAGTCTTAGAACAAGAGTCACAGCCAAATGCTCAAGTTTTGGTAAAACAGGCTGGGGCTGAATGTTGCTGCCCTTCTCAGGGGTCTCACTAGAAAACATTCCTTAAGGCTACCTAAGTTTGAACATTCCTAAACCAAAAGCCAGGAGAGAGCCTGTGAGTATTTTCAAATCATGGAGTAGCAAACCTATATTGGTTATTGTGCTGCAGTGTCTCTTCTGGAAAGGGATCTGGTTGTGACCCTGCAGCAGCAGGAGACTCTACTTTGCCTTAGATAAACAGTTCACTGCCTCATGTCTAAATGTGTGCACCTCTGTCCAGCTCTGGAGATGGCTTTGCCACCAGCTCTGTTCTTCAGGAGTGTGGACAGGAGCTCTGATAGGTGTGGTAGTGGTGTTACCTGTCTGTGCAATGAGGAAGGTCCTCTTCATCTGCTGCAGGTAGTTGTGTACTGGAGCTGAGAAGTTCACAGTGATGGTGAATGGCTGCCCCCGCCTCACAATCAGCCTTTCAGTGCTGATTTCTTCTGTGTGGTGGTTACTGTTGTTCATGGGGACCTTGAAATCGCATTTTTTGAAGCTCAGACCTGTAGTGTGAGAAGATACAGAATTAGTCTGGGGCTGTGAACTGCCTGCAGTCTGGCCCTGAGCCACATTCTGAGACACACAAACAGCTGACCAAGTGTTTTCTCCACTCAGATGTTCTCCCCCTGCCTTTGAGACTTTCTGACCAGTAACTGTGGGAGCCTTCACTCTGAGCTTGGTTGTTCTGCTGCCAAGTGACTACTGAGCTGCCTTTTTTGCTGTCACTTTCTTCAAGGTTGCTTGGAACCTGTACCCTCTCCCTGCTCCGTGGCTAAAACACTTCATCATCTCTCTGCTTCAGTTTTGTAGTCTGGCTTCCCTCCCACCACCTCTGCCCTCCATTCCCTCTGTTGAGGATACCTCACTTGCCTTTGCTTCCAGACTCTCACCTGTCTGCCTTGGCTGCTTCTTGCTGCTTCTCAAGCTCCTCTTAGACACTGATACCAGCTTTTGTTTGCTGTGCCTTTTTGTGCAGTCTGCCATGCAAACCCAACTCCCTTGGCCTTTAGAGCACAGTCTTGGCTCCTGCCCTGTAAGCTCAGCTCTTCTACAAGCCTTGTGAACAAGAACAAGCCTCTTGGAGCAAGAACAGTTGTTTTTTTTTCCTGACACATAGCTTGCAAATGCTTGGAACTAACCAAAGTGATTTTTGCTTACCTTGGCCCATGGCTGGTTCCCTGTACCATGAAAGTCTTCAGCTCCTGCTCGCTCTGCTGGGCAACGGCTCCTTCCTCCAGCTGTCTGTAAAAACTGTCCTCTTGCAAAGTTGTTTGCTTGATTTCTTTATACAGGGTGGGACGTGATGTGACCACCTTTCCAGCTTATCTTGCTGGCCTGGTGTGCAGATGTCAAGGGCTCTTTTATCTCTCAGGCCACACTGAAGACACCCAACAGATGAGGTCAAATTCCCCAGAGGGATATGAAGCATTTGGAGACAGACAGGGACTACTCCTTCAAGAAGCTGTGCACTGGGAACCCCAGAGTAGGAAATGCAAATCTCAATAGGGCTCTAAACAATGCACAGGATGCACTTCAAATGTAAGTGTTGGAGAGCTGCTCTACAGCATTGACCCCAAGCTGCTTAGATCCTAAACCCTTCAAGGAGTTAAAAAAAAATTAGTCAGCACATCCATTGCTCTTGTGCCTAATTCAAAAAAGTGAAACCTTTTCAAAATGAGGAAATGTGCCAAAGGCAGCAGCTAAAAATGTAGAATTTTTGTAGCATAATGCCGACTATTTAAAAGTATTGCACTGTAGATTTGGGCTAAATACATCCTTGAAATTGGGGTAATGTTAAAGGGACACCACTGGATTGATAAATAATTGGTCAAAAGATAGGAAATAAAATATTAGACATGAACATCTTTCATGGTGGAGTGAGTCACCATAGAAACCTATGATCTTCCACAAATTCAAGAGTAATTTGAGAAGCCAAACACACAATATTACACCAGAGAACTTGGTGTTTTTCTATGTCCATATTAGACTTTACAATCTCTTGCTTCTATGCATCATTTAAGCTAAATAAAAACTCCCTGTGTTTTAGTCCTTTTACAGCACAGCCTTGATTGTATAGATTCACTTTCACAGAATTGCAGAGTGGTTGAGGGACATCAGAGGTGTTCTTAAATGCACCTCTGCAATGTAGGTATGAGTTTATGAACCTCTAAATCAGAGTGGTTTAGATCCAAGCAGGTATTTATCCCATCAGCACTGCCTTGTCATGGCTGTGTATTCCCACAGTACCATCTCTTGGTCAAACTGGCAACTGCAAGGAAGATTTGTTGCTTCCCTTTAAAGGTATCTGCATTTCCAGCTCTGACAGTGGCATGTGCACGAATTAGACAGGAATTTTCCTTTTGGAGGGGATTTCTTGTTTCTTTAGAGCAACAAGAAATGCTTACACTGTGCCCTTGGGTTTGTCTTTGATAGTGAGCAGTGCCCTCCACATTCAGCACATGGACCAAGTGGTACAGCAGTGCAGCTTTGGTGGCAGAACAAAGTGATTTGAAACCACCAACTTTGGCTATTTCTGGTTGATCTCTTTTAATCTGTAAAACAGTAGTAATTTCATCCACTGCCTGAATCAAGGCTCTAGAAACTTAGATCAGAAGAACAGGATGGTGGGCAGAAACATTCACCACCCCGGAGGCTGATTTCAATGCCTTTCAAGATCAATTTATGGTAAACATGTGTCATATCAGCCAGTGCTCACTGGATTTTTTTGAGTGATCCGACTGGAATGAGGGCTGGCTGGGTCAGCCTCTTGGGCATGCTCACATTTAAACTGTGTATTTATAAAGAAAAATACAGACAATTAGCCATATTTTACTCCACCTACTCCAAGTGACTTCTGACCGAGGGCTGTGTGAAGATTGTAGGTTTGACAAAAGCTATTTAAATCCTTCCTCGGGCACTTGCATGTTTTTCTCTGTAATAATCATTAGTTTAATTGTACAGTTGTCTTATGTCTCATGCAGGAAGAATGTGTTTCTCATGCCTGGCACTGGCCAGATCTGCATTTTCACACTCAAACTGAGCTGGGTGTGGTTGCTGAGGGCAGATGAAAATGCTGACACTGTGAAAACCCAACGAGTGTTGCAAAGCTTGGAACTTGGCAGAGGCTTTGCAGCTGATTTCCCTTTGAACAGCAGGCTTCCTTTGCAGATAATTAGGATGAGGTCACTCCAAGCTCCCGTGACAAACACTGTCTGAAATAATTGCCTGGATTGTGTTTAAGAGGGAATACTGGAAGGAATTGGAATGGTTTGGCTGCATTGTGTATTAAATGTAATGACAGTCTGCATTCTTGCAAGATTTAATGAGATTTTGTGAAATACCATCACTACCTCAAGGCCTTCTCTGAGGCTGGTGGAGGATCCTATACCCTGACTTTCCAAGATCCTGCAAGACTTAATTGATAGGTGCAAAGCTGCCTATTCCCCTCTTTGCCTGGAGAAATCTGAATTCCTGTGTGTATGTGTGTGTGTCCTTTTCAACCCTCATTCCAGTCTCTCTGGGCTGACTTGTTTTAACCAGCTTCCACATCCCCTGTAAGTGTATGTGTGGGTGGCAAAACAGTGTAATTGATGTAATAAAATAGGAGTTTACATGTTTTGGAGATTTTGTTGGCTTTAAATGAAAGAAATTTAAATGAGACCTCAGTTTAATCTGTGTCACAGGGTCAGTTTGTGCTCATGGAACATTCTTTCTGGGTCTGCATTGCCGGACAGTACTTGGTGTCAAGTGGAAAAAGTCAAATTGTCTCTTAGGAACATTCATGTCTTTGCTATTTTGGCTTGTTAACTTTGCAAGGAATTTAGGGATTTAGATATGAATGGCTCAGTGTGTTCCTCATGAATGATGATCTGCTTTAAGCAGCTTTGCAGAATGAGGATATGGGATTGTTAAATGTGAATTTTCATACGTCCTTCTCATTGTATTGTCCTGCGCCTTTTCTTCCCAGCCTGTGCTTTCTGAGCACTTCTGGTAATGAAAAGTATCTGCCTTTGCAAACAGAGAAATCCTTTTTTTTTCTTGTCTGCTTTGTCATACCTGCACGAAAGGAAACAGGTGGAACTTCCTCTAACATAATTTAGGAGGGTAGATACAATGGTTTTGTAAGAGACAGAGAAAGGGCTGCACTGAGTGGCAGCAGCTGTTGGCAAATAACAACCTTGATGGTGGTTCCAGTACAAAACAAAAATAAATGTCATAGGGTGCTTTTTGTCAATTTGGCCAATTTTTCCTGATAGTAAAGTGAGAAGTTTCTGACCTGGAATGAAGTAAAAACACTAAACCTCTCCCCTCTCCAATTTTAGCAAAATGCATATTGCCAGGATAATTAGGACCAATGCACTGATTGATGGTGCTGGTTCAGGCTCCTCATCACTGCTACTGCCTGTTAGTCCTGGAATAGGTTCAGACCAGTAGGGATATGATTGCAAAGCCAGAGAGCATTTTAAGTCGGTCCCCATACACATCGATTTTCTCTTTGGGAAATTGCTCATGTTTATGCTGAGCAAAGCCTTTGTAAATACTCCAAGGAGAGATCTGGGGTTGAACCCACACAGTATAGGGGCTATAAGATGTCTCTTACAGAGTACTTTGCTCCTTAAATACCTTTTTTCCCCTCTCAAGATCCAAGTGCTTTTTTCTCCTGGTAGAGCCAACTAAGGAAGTGAGGCTGGATGGGGAGGTGAATCTTTATGACGTGTATACACGAAAATTTGAATTGTGCTTAACTATAGTTTGTCAGTGATAGAAACACAATCTGTTTTGGACTCAGTCAGGTTGTTGGTGTTAGTAACTTATCCTTTTATCTCTGGGGAAGTTTCATTCACTCATTTAGTTCATCCAGAAAGAACTCTGGGCATTTTGAGATAGTGGTGTGTGTGTGAGAATCTATGTGTGTACAGAAATGTGTCTTAGTCCAGATGACAGATCACCTATTTACTGTTTAATGATTTTCTGCATCATTCCCATTTTCAGGAACAGCCTGTTACTATTTCAGATGCTCTGGTGTTTTCTACTCCTTAGTCAAAGAGTCAAGTCTCTCTTTAATCTGTTTTTGTACTGTTATTCCTAGTCTTTTTTCTTTTTTTGCCGGATATTTCATTATTTATACTTTACCACCTGATTAAATTATAATCTGAACGGGGAAACTGTGAGTTAAAGATTCTTGTCTATTGAATAGCTTCTCATTTTTCCAGTCATAAGAAGAGGGCTCTGTTGTTACACTGTCATATCTTATTGCTGTATTTTCCTTCTAGTAATAAGATTAAATGATAAATTTAATTCTAGAGTTTAGTTATGTCAGCTACTTGGATAGTACTTTGGCTATTACTGAATAAAACGTATTTAGTGAATACAAGCCTTGAGAAGAGAAGGCTCCAGGGACATCTCCTCGTCTCTTCTAGTGCCTAAAGAGGGCTCTCAAAACAGCTGGAGAGGGACTTTTCACAAGGGCATGGAGTGATAGGACAGGAGGGAATGGCTTTAAGCTGAAGGCAGGTAGATTTAGATTGGATATTAGAAAGAAATTCTTCCCTGTGAGTGTGGTGAGGCCCTGGCACAGGTTGCCCAGAGAAGCTGTGGCTGCCCCTGGATCCCTGGAAGTGTCCAAGGCCAGGTTGGACGGGGCTTGGAGCAACCTGGGCTAGTGGAAGGTGTCCCTGCCCATGGCAGGGGGGTTGGAAGGAGATGAGCTTTAAGGTCCCTTCCAACCAAACCATTCTGTGATTCTGTGATGATTAAATTGCATTCTGTGAAGCTTATGAAACCAGTGATTTTAAATTATGTTCCTTGGAAATCCAGCTGCTATTATTGCTACAGGCTCTAATGCTGAAAACCATCACACTTGATCCTCTCCTTCAATTTAAATTATATAATAATTTCCACTAGTAATTGTATGTGTGAAGGTCCATAAAACAGGTTAGGGATTGAAAAAGGTGACTCTGTCTTTACAGTACAGTGTGTGTGGTACCTTTTTATTAGTTTGCACTCATATGACATCACTTTGCTTTGGCTGAGTAATCTGCATTTCTGTGCCCCCAGTCATAATAATGTGTGGACAGTGCACCAGCCTCATAAACAGGCACAACTGAACTGATGCACAGGTTATATCACTGAGCAGGAGCCACATCAAGCGTCACAAATCCCTTAATGTCTGAAAAATGGATGCAAACCAAGTCCACCTGAAGCTGCCTGGTGCCACTCCTGTAGGGAATGATTTCAAACTGGACTGTGGAACTCTCCATGGGGGCCATTCTTGCCACACTAAAAGAGA